ACTGCTATTTCCATGGAAAATGCTATAACGGCCTACACACCCTCGTTCCACCAGTTCAGACCCGCCATACTATATACACATGGACGATACATCCCAATTCTCTTCATAATACCATTGATAAGAAGCTAATTCTATTTGGATAGCTTCCTCCTATGGGCGGATGTTTGAACAAACTCCTGAGAGGATGCTTCCCTGACCACTACCGCCTTGATCTCTTCAAATCTAGGGTGAACATTCTTTTTTCCTACATATCCCCATAATCTACAATTTTTACACCCATAAACAATCCCATTCAGTATCCCTTTATCTTGACTGGTTCTTGGGCCTTTTAGTGGGTGAAAAATCGTAAAATTTTAAAAAATAATTTGTTTCGATATATTTTATACACTCTCAAAGAATTGAAACTTATTGGCATTAAGATATTGCTATAAAAATCAAAATAAATGGTTATTCTAGAATTCAATGGATCGTTAAGATGGCGAATAATTGAAGCGTCGCTAAATAGTATTTAAGTTTTAAACTAATCACCAAAAAAACAGTTTAAATTATCCCAACCGAATATTATGATATTCCTCTTAAATATTTCCCTTCGCTTTGATTGGTCTAAATTGAAGAAGTACATTTTCGAATATAATTAGTTGTTTCTCCGGCAGAATCATATCGTCCCAGATTTCTTTCCAGTCAAATAGATACAAAGCATCACATTACCGGACTGAAGCCCAAACTTTACATCGGTTCCCGGTGGTTTATTTAGCTTGGGCCACATTGTGATTAATTATCCACATTTCATCCGACATTTTCTTATCGTCTAATTAATACGTCATTTTTTAATTACTTTATTTATTTATTTATTGGGTGGGGGTGGGGATAAAGAAACTAATTCATTGAGGATTTGTCCCAATGTTTCTTTTATCAACAACATTCGGTAATTCGGGGAAGTAAATAAATAAAAATGTGTTTGCTGAACCTGGAGTTACGCTCTAATTCTGTAACAGCGCGTGCACATGCTCACGCGAACATACCGCATATATATATATATATATATATACACATACACTTGGTGATTGCCGTATCTTACTCAGATGAGAGCCGCTTCCTCACCCTTCGCATCATTTCCAATGGCTTCAGTATCGATGACACTTGGGACCAGCATTTGATTCCATATGTATCAGGCATATATGACAGATAAACTCTGTATTCTTGATTGGATTCATTGGATCTGCAGGGTCTAAAACTCCCCTGGGCACCACCAAGTGGCTTCTCAGTTCTGATGATAATCTGCAAACTTTGTTACAAACAACACAAGTATTTTAGGCTAAACGATTAGGTATGTTGGCATAGTTGGTTTGTTTCTATACCTTTTCAACTTCAAAATAATAATAATCAACTTCAAAATGAACTTATTTTCAGGTAAATTTCTTAGGAACGTTTATATTTTTTTATCTCTTTTAAGTAAAAATAAAAGAATAAATATTAAATTTATTAGTATTATATTAATTCTCAATTTGAAGTTGATTAATCCAATTTGGAGTTGATTATTTCTCATTTTGAAGTTGTTTTCCAATTTGAAGTTGATTAATCCATTTTGAAGTTGATTGATCCATTTTGAAGTTGATTAATCCATTTTGGAGTTGATTAATTTTTTTTACTTGAAAATAAGTCCATTTTGAAGTTGATTATTATCATTTTGAAGTTGAAAAGGTATAGTTGCTATGATGTCAATTCAGATGGTTTACATCACCTGCCCTCCACAACAGCATGCGCTAACACAAACCACATTTACAAGACTGCACATTAGCTGGCAAATCAGAGTGAGTGCCTCTCATATATACATGCATATGTTAGGTAAATGTATGGCAAAGCGGAAAAGAGTTTGTGTTACGTTTTTCGTTCTTACCACTCTGCCATTGCGACTACAAAACTACTGAAGAAAAGTGCATTAACAAAGAAGCATTTTTTATCAGCAAATTTAAACCAAAACTTAATTTATTACATCAACCAGATGATATTATAGTTACCTCGCCATAAGCGATAGATAAAACCAACTGCGCCTCTTAATTTTTTTCTTTTATTCTGGACTTAAGCGACTACACGTATTTCGAAAAGCTAAGAGCGAAACATGTAACTGAAACAATTTTAATAATTCTCTGTAAACATGTATTATAAATATTGCATATAAATATATTAAAATGTTAGGTGCATTTCCAAATATTATTATTATTTTCTGTATACAGTAAGTTTTTTATAGAGACCTATCTAATAATTTCGGTTTATATATATCTATATATATATATATATATATATATATATATATATTATCCCTCACAGCTAGCACGACCCAGAGATTTATGCAAAACGCAATCTTCAGGTGCTGAGTATGGACTGACCGTTACGTAAGTTGAATTTAAAAAATATATCTGTTTACCACAATGCTGACACAGTTAAATATTGTATATATATTGGGATCATTGATTTTTTTTTTTTTAAATATGTCCCTTTAAAAAACTAAAAAAAATTTCTAAAAATTATATTTCTCAAAATATATTTGCCAATTAAAATAACCTGGATTAGCATATGAACTTAAAAGATAGAGGGCTCTTAAATCATGAGATATAATAATGTTGATCTATGCGTTTAAGTAGATATTTATTTTTATGCCTACATGTAACCATGAGTTCATTTCTCTTGTTTAATAATACCGGTTTAAGTAATTTAAGATAATCATTTTCTCAACGAAACATAGATTACATTTATTCCCTTTACCGTTGTAAAATTTACCTCTTGCTATAATATTCCAATCAGTTAAAGGGGAGTTGCCGGTATCTATCAATTGCCATAAATAATTAGAGAGCAGTGCTGTTTCAGTATTTAATATTTGCCAAAGTCATTCGATGATGGTAGAAATGAAACTAACATGAATTTTCAGTAGAACCAAAATAAAATCTAACATCGCTACCGGAAGGTATGCTCGCTCGATATACAATATTGTCGGTCATACATTTACCGTTTAATGGACAGATCGTTTTCTTTCGAGAGTTGCATTTATGTTTTCTTGGAAATATGTTTATTTAATATGATGTTGTTTTATATATATATATATATATATATATATATATATGTATATATATAATAGTTCTGCTGTATAACTTCGATCACTGTTTTATTAACACCCGTAATTTATGTACAATATATTTTTTTCTAAAAAAACACATTACAACCAAAAACGTTTGCGGCACCTCTCTTCGCTTCTTTTTTAATATACATACTTTTCTCTCGTTGGAACCACTACAACCTCTTTATTTTATATATATATATATATATATATATATATATATATATATATATATATATATATATATATATATGCGAGAATGCAGAGCAACTTAAAACATAAAATATTTTGAAAGCCAGTTTTTGTGGCTCTCCCCAACCTCCTATCTCTTGAGGGTTTCAGCAAATATGTACCTTTTTACCACCCCTCCTATATTCGCCCTGCCATCTATTCAAACAATCTCGTCAGGTCTTCCATTGTCACTTTTGCCTTCGATATATCCTGTGAGTCTCAAACACTGAAGTACATTGGTTTTCCAAATATATATATATATATATATATATATATATATATATATATATATATATATGTGTGTGTGTGTGTGTGTGTGTGTGTGTGTGTAAAATATGAATCTCAGTGTCACTGTGTCACACTTTTTTTTAATTTTACTCCCAGAGGACGTAGACTAACATATAACATTTTGGAATCAGGCCGACTCCGTGAACAAATTAAAATTAAGCTGCAATCCTGAAATTTACGATTCCCAAGTTTTCATTACTGCCATTGTTTTTGGCGATTTTTACGTGACGAATTTTTTTTTTTTGTATGATAACAATTTTTATAAACTGGAAATAAGTTCGGGAATAATCGAAATTAATTGTGAAATCTAGCGAAAGTCACCCATGAAATAAAAATAATTGTTTGTACGAAAAGTAAGGACCTACGTACATCAAACTGTCTTTAAATTAAATGCCACTAGAAGAATTATCGTTGAACTTTTAAAAGTTAAGATTGAATATTAATGCAATACTTAAATGCAGCGATCAATTTTGTGTTCGTCTGTACTTTATTGTTGCTTATCGCATCTCCTCCTCCCTACCTATTGTGATGCAGGTCCAATCAAGTGTACTTAGCAGGAGCTAGCTTAAATGCTTTTAAGCAAGAATATATATATATATATATATATATATATATATATATATATATATATATATATATATATATATTGTGTTCGTAGGTACTTTATTGTTGCTATCGCATCTACTCATCCCTACCTATTGTGAAGAAGGTTAAATCAAGCGTACTTTAGCAGGAGCTAGCTTAAATGCTTTTAAGCTATATATATATATATATATATATATATATATATATTTTTCATTAAGTTTACTTCGATTTTTATTTTATCACTTTTATTATTATTATTTGTGCCCCCCAATTTACTGTGGATGATCTTGCGGCCATATAGGACGATAGTCGTATTTACACCTTTTAAAACAACGTCGTGGCGACTAAATGTATTGGAAATAGTTGATGAGATATCTGGTGACCCAGTCGCTTGATCGAACTCCATTAGATTTTGGGCGGAGTACAAATCAAAACACTTGTCTACCCATCAAAACTTCACCCTTGTATGAACTTAAGGTCAGAAAAGGAAACCCTGTCCAAGCAATATTGATTAATCAATTAAGTGATTTGTTCAAGGAAATGGAGAATTGGCTTGGAAGCTGTAGCGAAATAAAAATGCAAAAAACTTTCGATGTTCTGCCATCACTTAATACGATTCAGAAAGAATAATGATGACACATATAGCACAAAGGAAACGAACTCTCCTATACCGTATCTACTCGAGTACAAGGCGAGATTTTATGATCATTTTTTTCTGCAAAAATAGCAGTCGCACTATAAACAGGTTAAAAGAGGTTAAAAATTATAAAAGTAAGGAAAAGACTGCGATAGATAGATAGATAGATAGATAGATAGATAGATAGATAGATAGATAGATAGATAGATAGATAAAAGTTAAAGACACGCAGAAATTATACCTAAGAAGATAGATCCTGAAACTGTCAGAATAGATAGATAGATAGATAGATAGATAGATAGATAGATATGAAGAGATTCAGATATTTACTCGGCATAGATAGATAGATAGATAGATAGATAGATAAGGAAAAGAGATAGATATATAGAGAGAGGAGGGGAAGAGAGATAGATAAGGAAAAGGCTGAGATAGATAGATAGATAGATAGATAGATAGATAGTGACCGGTTGCATTATATACACAGATATTTTTTTCTGGAGTATTTAGAACTCATGCAAAACATTCAAGCGTCGCACTATAAATCAACTCGACTTATACATGAATATACACGGTATCGATGTTATAAAAGAAGATCTGTATGTTTGTTTCATCTTTAAGCATCAGATGTATGAAATAAATCATTGGATTAACATGTTCCCCACCTCTTCAGTCTGGACGACCTCTAACTCAGGCTAAGCAATAAAGTCGTAAATAATGCAGAGAAGAAAGTGCCGTCATTTTTTAAAACCTTAAAGCATAAGAAAATTATAAAAATTTTATTGAGCTTTACCGAAATTAATCGCTCATAAATACAGTTATCTTTGAAAGATTTTACTTAAAATTTTGTAGATTTTGAGCAATAAGCGGTAAGCGCTACCCAGAATGCCTCCTCAGTGTTGTCTCATGAGGTCGTCGAAAGTTTCGGACGTTCTGGACAAGAGACTTTTTCTACCATTGGCCCCCAGCCGTAAACTATTTCAATCCCAGCTAGCAGTCTGGGTACTTTATGTATCGACTTCTGTATATGTCCTCCGTGAATTGGTTTTTATCGGGTAGCAGCTCGATTTTCTACCAATCAGCAAATTTAGATGTTTTCCTGCTGGTGTTTATTTTAACCAATGAGAAACCCAGGTTTAATTTGTCTCTTATCATTGCTATGATATTAAATATTTCTCCTTTCTCCTTCTATTCGTTTCCTCTTCCCCTCCCTTTTTCTCCCCTTCTCCTCTTTCTCCTTTTTTTCCTTTCTCTTCCGCTCTCTTCTTTAGAAATTATTTTTAGGATATCATTGAATTAAAATATACATGCGCACACGCCTAACGTAGTCTGAGTAAAAGGGAAATATCATAAAGCTAAATGTACGACGATTTGAAGGCATTTTTACGACTTCTGTATTTAAAATGGCTACGGTGGAGTAATGGATAGCGGCTCGGATCATTCGATTCATTACGTGCTAATACCCTTGGGAAAGGTATGTATCCTCTTCTTCTCCACCCAGTTATGGGCAAATAGCAGGACAGACCGGGTTCTATAACAACTGGGCTACCGCAGAAAGAAATGGCAACCTACTACGGGAAAAATATGCCTCGTCAGTCATGTATCGAAAGATACATGATCACCTAAGCGTGTATCCTGCATGGCGCATAACTGAACTGATATTTTCTTATAAATGCCGTATTTTTAATAGACAATGAATTTCTATTGGAAATTTGATCCTCTTGTCATTGGTACATAATTAATAATAATAATAATAATAATGATAATGATAATAATAATAATGATAATAATAATAATAATAATAATGATAATAATAATGATAATAAAAATCTGCAACTTCTACGGGAAGGAAACTGAAAGAAACTGGTATGAACACCACCCAGACCCGGTTACGGAGATAGGACCTGTTACAATCCTATGGGACTACACAATACACACTGACAGAACAATCAAGGCCAATCGGCCAGATATTGTTATTAAAGACCACAAAAAAAACGATGCCTCCTTATTGATATGGCAGTCCCTGCTGACTGCAATGTATCTTTGAAGATATTCAAAAAGTTGTCAAAGTACAAGGACCTTGAAATAGAAATCTCGAAAATGTGGCATATGGGAACATCAACAATCCCTGTTGTAGTTGGAGCCCTAGGACTGGTTGGAAAAGATTCCAGTTGACTAATCGAAGGGATTCCTGGAAGTCCATGCCTCAAGGAGATACAAAAAATTGTTCTGACAAGTACAGCCCACACCTTACGAAGGTCTTTATCTACGTAATTTAATACTTTTTTTTTTTTCTGTCAGTGGAAAGTGTCATGACGCCATTTCTAACCTTAGGTCCCCGGGCGGGACCCGGAAAGAAATGTGTAAACGCCAGAAATAAAAGAAAATAATAATAATGATAATAATAATAATAATAATAATAATAATAATTCAGCTAGAATTGTCATACAAGACAATAATAATAATAATTCAGCTAGAATTGTCATACAAGACAACAACTATTGGCTTACTAACTTACATGGAAACAACAAATGACTGGATGATAAAATTAGTGAAACAACATGAAAAACAAAGAAAAAAAATATTCAATAATAAAAAGAAGGCAGTAAATACAAACAACATTTACATTTAGTAGATTCTGTAGTAAAATCAAAACAGAAGCCAAGAACCAACTATTGCAGCAAAAGATATGAAAAAAAAAAAGCCAAGGATAAAGCCCTTGAACAGATGAAACAACGCTGGCAAGACAAACCTCTGCATGGCCAATATCCAGAACGTGCAAATAAACCCAATGTTGATAAAGTTAATACTCATCGATGGTTACGAGCATCTGGATTAAAGTCTGAAACTGAAGGCTTTATTCTTGCAGCGCAAGACCAGAGTCTTTTCACTAGGAATTTTCAGGCAAATATCATACATAATAATGTGGATCCAAATGCAGGTTCTGTGACAAATACCAAGAAACAATAGACCATCTAATCTCAGGATGTTCTATACTTGCCCCAAATGAATATAAAAATCGTCACGATAGAGTGGGCAATACTTACACTGGACAATGTGCAAACACTTTGGAAAATGTGTAAGCAAACACTGGTATGAACATCGGCCAGCGCCGGTTACAGAAATAGAAGATGTCACCATTCTATGGGATTATACCATCCACACAGACAGAAAATTGAAGCAAATAGGCCGGACATTATTGTCAAAAACCAGAAAGAAAAAAAACTTGCCTACTAATTGATATATGGCTTGTCCAGCGGATTGTAACATAGCAACCAAGGAATTTGAAAAACTATCAAAATACAAAGACCTGGAAATTGAAATAGAAAAAATGTGGAAATTGAAAACAAGAATAATACCAGTGGTAATAGGTGCACTTTGGAATTATAAAAAATGGAACAAAACAACACATTGAAAGAATCCTGAAACCCCAGCTTAAGAGACATACAGAAAATTGTCTTATTAAGTACAGCACACACACTAAGGAGAACTTTGTCTATGTAACGCTAGCAACTTCATCGGAGATAAAAAAAAAAAAAAAAAAAAAAATTAACATGAAATGTGGCCATAACAACACACCACGACCTGCCTTAGGTCTTTCCGCAGACTTGGTAGGTAGTGTGTCCATAGCAGAAATCGAATGATGATGATAGTAGTAGTAATGATAATAACAACAACAATAATAATAATAATAATGATAACAATAACAATACTACTACTACTACTACTAATACTAATAATAATAATAATAATAATTGCCGTCATGGATTCAAATCGTCAGTGATTGGATGTATCATTGTGTATATATTTTGTCTTAGTCAATTAAGATAGGTCACAGTAAATATCTCATTCTGTACCTTAGGCAGTCTGGCTTGTCCCCTAGGGGCTAACGCCACTGGGCATCTCTATTCGTGAGCGTGTATAGAAAAACTCGAAATTCTCCTCGACGACATCATTTCTAAAACGAGATAGAATACTGAGTAGATTGCTGGAGTATGAAGGATACTTGCTGCCACATAACCTCCATTGAACCTAAGGAGATACTACTCAACAGTAAACTGAATATATTATTAATAGTAGTAGTAGTAGTAGTAGTACTAGTGTACCCGTGTCGTCAAAAATGACAATTGTTAGAAAGTTTAAATTGTGAGATGCAATGAAACAAAAATCTTGAAACAATTGAAATTCAATAAAACGGAGATAAAGAACTCACAACTAAAATGGAGGCCAGCGAACCATTTAATTAATCCATTCCATTAATATTTTTTTGACGTTCAATGTTATCTATGATTCATTGATTACTCTTGATATTAGGTAAATCGCTTTTTGTTCAATATCTTTTCATGTTCAAAATTTTATGTATTTAATATAAAAGTGAAATGGGAGGAGAAGAATTCACTCTTGGACGAAAAAGATTAACAACATAAAAAACAAAGACAGCGACGACAAAGCCTATTTCAAGAGGAAGTTGATGCAAGACGATCACTTAAGAGACAAATTTATCTGAGTACCTCACATGAAAAGCTTGAACAAATAAGACTGTAATCTAAAAAAATACGTAGGTATTTGATTTATTAAACGGTCCCTTTTGACCGAGAAGTCATTTTGTCTAAATGCAGATAAATATTTTATTTGCATAAATTCAGTCAGTTATGTGCTATGCGTGATACACGCTTAGCCAATCATGTATTTTTCAATACATGACTGATGAGGCAGATTTTTTCCCGCAGTAGGTTGTCATTTCTTTCTGCCGTAGACTAGTTTCCATCCAAGGCTCTAGAACCCGGTCTGTCCTACTATTTACCCATAGCTGGGGGAAGGAGAAGATGATTAATATCTTTCGCAAGGGTATTAGCACGTAAGTGAATGGATGTAATGGATTCGACTGGAATTCGAACCCAGATCCCTGATTCCTCAATCCATGCCGATATCCATTACTCCACCGTTCCTCCTCTTGCATAAATTATTAAAACGATTAAGGAAAGTAATAAATTTACTAACTTAATTTGATTTACCGCAATTCCCACTACAGATGGGACAGGATATATATAAATAAATGTTAAAATTCAACAATGCCCACTGGTTCTTCTATATGTTCACTGTTCTTGCGGTGGAATTATGGCAATGTAATATCTATCTCCAGATTTTAAAAAAATAATGCAAAGGAATTGCTTGATATCGTATAACTGATTCTTTTTTTCGTCATTTCACTCCTAAGCAAGGCGATAACACCACTAAGATGCATGGTTTTACTGGGAGTGAAAGAGAATGAGAAGATTTTATTGAGGAGAAGGCACAATAAAAGAAAAAGTATCAGAAAGACGGATGCTGTCGATTGGCGTTGCATTTAAATTTTTGAAGTTTGCAGGTGACGTGGAAGCAAGAAAGCGGAAGAGAGATCCACAGCCAAAAAATGCGAGGAAATAAACTACTAGAATATAAAATACGATTACATTTATCTAGTTCAACGGTAAAG